CTGACTCAGGGTGAAGGCAGGTTCACCTGGACAGTCTATCACAGGGCTACACTTAGAGACAGACAACCAAGCACACTCAGATTCACACCTACGGACAATTTAGAATCACCAATTAACCTCAGCATGTTTCTGGACTGTGGGAAGAAGCCGGAGAACCCAGAGAGAACCCACGCTGCTTGGGGAGAACATGGAGACTCCACACAGAAAGATCCCAGGTGACCTCACCGGGATGCCAACCGGCAACCTTCAAGCTGTGAGGCAACGGTGCTAACCACCGAGCCACCTTGCAGCCCCCTACAGTAATCACAAAAACTAAAATAAACTAAGCACTAAAAATCAGGTCAAAGTTAAGGAGTAAAGACATAAACCATGTGTCCATATGGAAACTCATCTCAGACCTATTTTATCTTATTGGCAAAGTAAACAATGCGTGATAAAAATTGAAAGCACAAGCTCTAAATGACGCCCTCAGAACCCAGCGGTTGACATCACAGACGGTGTCTTTATTTTTACACATTACAGAAACCTTGATAACAGGAAGCACCTTATATTGTGGACTATGCAAACCCATAGATCCGCAGATGCCATGATTAACATTTACAGTACTCCACTTCTGCTGTTTATTCCTTGTTCACTGAAGCACAATTTCATTTTCAGAGAGCACAATAACTAAATTCAGCTCTGCTACACCCAGTTTACTAGATGTAAATGAAAAGCAAACGTCTGTGCATTGTTTCTAAGCACCGGCTGTCACCTGGGCCCATAGGAGAGAAACAACTGAGATACGAAGCATGTGGAAGGCCCCTGACAGCACTAAAATAGACAATGCAACAGAAACCTATGTAATATTCATGAAGACTGACATATTGTTTGCATGTAAAGAAGTTCACAGCTGGTTTCCTCCCTGTTTAAGTTTCTTTTTGGTTCCTTTCCACCGACTGCTTGCTCAGAGGGAGTCAAAATGCAGCTTTGGATTGTTGGTAGTGATGTTGGTGATTGGTCAACCAGCAGACGTGGCGGTGTCCACACTAAGCAGGAGGGGGAGGCGTGAGCGTGGTGGTGGTGGTGGACAGGGGATGCTGGCTGGTGCTGCCAAGTGGATAATCACCTGAGTGAACACACCTGATGCAGGGAGTGGTCCACCTGCATCTACTCAACCTGCACCATAAAAGCAGGACTCAGACCACTACTCAACGCTGGACCGTAGAACTGCTCCATCTAGTTTTTACCCAGGCCATGTTAACGTTTGCTTACTTCAGTGTTCTTCTTTGACTAACCCTTGTGTTCCTGTGCCTCACTTTTGGATAGTCCCTGTATGCTCCACTGCAACCTGCCTGGATCTTCTGCCAACATCCATCGTCACCTGGGGCCTCATGTACAAACACTTGCGTGGATTTCATACTGAAACCTGGCGTACGCTTCAATCCTGAAAACTGCGTATGCACAAAAAAGTCCAGATGAACGAAAGTGAGCGTACGCCGGAATCCAAGCACATTTCCTTTGTACATCCCACTCAGCATTGACCGCACATGTTGGAGTACCAGACTCCTCCCTCTCCACGCCCTCAATTTAAATATGCAAACTGGTATAAACAGGGCCGACAGGTGGGATTCCCCTCTCTGCAGGATCAGATAACAGTAACAAGGATGAACTCACCCCGTTTGAGCGGAGAGTCGCCGCTATTGTGACCCCTGTGACGTTGCTGTCACAGGAGTGGTGGGAGCACACGTAGGTCACTCAAATCACCCCCAAGGTAAATATTTATCGTGTAACTCACAGATTTATTCACTACACGGGTCATATAATCATCTGCTCGCAGCCAAACAAGATGCAGGTTCTTGCGTAATCATGCCAGGATATCAAAGAGGAAATCAAAATTTTGTCTCATGTCAGATTACTCAATTTATTATTTTCCAACAGACAATGAGGCAAGAGAAGACTGTGAGACGCAGTCCCAGCCTCGTATCACAGACCCGCAGGACTCCTCCAGCCTCCCCGGCGTCAGCCGATCCTCCGGTCCGCCGCAACAGCCAGGTGCTGATGCCCGTCCGGGGCGCACATCAACGCATGTCGGGGGGATTAATATGAGGACAATTAAATGACTTACTCACCAAGAAGCCACCACCGTGCCAGCTTATAGCCTGTTCTCAACCATACTGTTGGTCAGAATGTGTTTTGATCAAGGACGCCTCGCAACAACGTTACTTAATTGTATTTGCGCATCACAGATGATCTGTACATTGATTTAATAAAAAATGCCTCCTGTTTACATAAACAAATGCATGTTGTGGTGGTGCCTCTATAGCAATGTGTGTGCAGTCGACATTAGGAAAACCGGCCGTCGCTACAAATTGCACTTTTATGTCATCCTGTTCAACTGTAGTGTGGGAATTTGATATATCTGGCTGACATTCGGATAGTTCCAACCCACACATCTGGCATGGCTCTGCTCACTGTCGACTGGCACAGTCCCGGTCGGTCGGCCAGCTTCCTCTGAAATGACCCTGTGGCTAGGAAGGCCAGTGTGGTCAGCACCTGTATGGGCACAGGTAGGACATGGCTCCTGGACGTGTTGCGCTCCAATAATGGCCGCAGCTCCGCACACAGTTCTAAGCGAATTGCCCTCGGGAACGTAAAGCGGCTGATGAGCCATTCGTCATCCTGAGGTCTCTGGAAATCCGTTCTCTTGGCACTGCTCCATTGGCAATATCCTCCAACAGGTCCAAAGCTGCCATTGTTGTTAACGGTATCTTCTGCACCATTTTACGTCTGAATGCTAACGAACCACATACGTGCACATACGTAAAATATCATGATGAATGTTTTCAAAGATTTCCTATAATCTCACTCAGTGTAGCTGGAAAGAACATAACATTTCTTGTTGATTCGGGGGCCACCCATTCAGTCATTAAAAGGTCAGAATTGCCACATTGTCAACTCAGTGGGAGATACGTATATTCTGTGGGAGCAGCGGGCGTTACAGTGAAGGAACATTTCTCCAAACCTGTCACATGCATTGATCCTGAAAGCAAAGTTTTACAATCTCGTAAACACAGATTTCTGTTGTCCCTTTCCTGCCCTATTAACCTTTTGGGCAGAGATTTAATTCTTGCCTTCGGCCTAAATTTGCTATCAACTCCAGAAGGCCTGGCTGTTTCACGATCTGCCCTTACGCATGCATTCTCTCATTATCATCCTGAGACCTTGTATNGATAGATAGATAGATAGATAGATAGATGGATAGATGGATAGATAGACTGGCGACCTGTCCAGGGTGCCCCCTGCCTTCGCCCTAAGTCAACTGGGACAGACTCCAGCCCCCCGTGACCCTAGTAAGGATTAAGCAGTGTATAGATAATGGCTGGCTAGCTAGCATGTTGACAAGTCACAAAGCTTCTGGGAGAATGTCGTATGGACAGACGAGACGAGACGAGACGAGACGCAAAAATTAAGCATATCAAGAAAAGAACACTGTCCCTACTGTGAAACATGGAGGTGGCTCTGTTATGTTCTCGGGCTGCTTTGCTGCATCCTGAATCTGTGTAGGGTCCAATGAAATCTCAAGATTATCAAGGTATTCTAGAGGGAAATGTGCTGCCCAGTGTCATAAAGCTTGGTCTCAGCTGCAGGTCATGGGTCTGCAACAGGATAATGACCCAAAACACACAGCTCAATACACCCAAGAATGGCTCAGAGGAAAACATTGGACTATTCTGAAGTGGCCTTCTATGTCTGTGGAAGGAGCTGAAACATGCTGTCTGGAGAAGGCACCCTTCAAACCTGAGACAACTGAAGCCGTCTGCTCATGAGGAGTGGGCCAAAAGACCTGCTGAGAGGTGCACGAGTCTCATTGACAGTTACAGAAATTGTTTGATTGCAGTGATTGCCTCAAAAGGTTGTGCACCAAAATATTAAGTTAAGAGTACCATCATTTTTGTCCAGGCCTGTTTCATGAGTTTATTTTTTAAAATAATTCTGTTCAACCACGGTTCAAAACCAATGTCTGATTTTCATTGCTTAATTTTCATAGAATTTTAATTTATTATTACTTTTGTCAGATTCAAGTTGTTTCTGTGACCGTTGTGGGTTTTTCTTTCATTAACCGAGGGGTACCAACTATTTTGTCTATGTGTGTATATGATCATAGACAGAAACTCATGCTTAAACTAAAAATATTAAATTCTCATCTGGACAGCTTTATACTTGAAACAGCTTTATACTCAAACTGCCATTGTCAGAACAACAACTGTTCTGAGTTGGTGTACTTCCTGTTTGTCTACATGAGCATCTCTGAAGAGCAGTCAAATGCCGTTTCTAAGTTAACTGTCATGTTATTTGTTTTGTGTCACTCCCATTATGTTCATGTGATTTAAAACGATCAGATTAGTAAGCCAGGACGTTCTGCGGCTGTCATCTGCGGTCTTAAGTGCCCTCTAGTTGTATTTCACAGCTGCAAGGTCTATGTGGAGAAAGCAAAACCTGACCAAACACGATGAGCACTGTGTGATGGCTGTGGCTTCCTTGGTCATGTAGAAGTTTCAGGTTCGGTACCACGTTCCTCCTGCACCATCTCTAGCCACTACAAAAAAGCTGCAATAGTTTCCAGCAATCACATCTCCCAGTTTAGTGCCGTGTCATCAACCCATTTTCTGTTCCTCTTTCAACATGTGCACTCACTGAATTAGTATTGGACTATTATATAAACTATATATAGTGGCATGCAAAAGTTTCTCCAGAAAGATGAAATGACCTCTGCTGCCCTTTTTCCTTTTCTGTTGTTTTGAAAACGTAAAAGATGAAAATAAAATTGTATTTTGTTTGAATGTAAAGGGAATGTGTCGTCTGTAACTCCAGGCCTTCTGGGGATCATTTCATCTTCTACTGTATATCCTGTTGATGGACTAATTGCCTTCTATTTCATGTTGAAACTTGTTTTCTAGGTTTTTGTAAGTGCACCGATGCCCTATCCCAGCTGTAGGAGACACCGTCATGTCCTCTACCTGGCTTTGACAGCCTCTGGTGGCAGGATTCCAGGAACTAAGTATTCCAGAGGAGAGATGAAGAAGCCATCGTGGATTTGACAGTCAGTGAGATCTTCTGTCTGGACACACAGGCACAAATACATAAGACATCAGATTGCAATAGCTCTCCATGGTACTAATGAGCAGAGAAGAAGGAGCACCTTGTTAATGTAGACTGGGTAGTCCTGAGGCACCAGAGACTTGCACCTCTCTCTGTCTCCAATGATCTTACGAAACTCAAAGATCCTGTAAAACACAACATTAAGAATCAGTTTCACATCAGAATAGCATTTGGACTCGTTGCTTCATGTCATCATGTCTTGTTTTATTTCACCTTCATAATAAGGATCAAAGTGCAAAACCTCTTCCAATTGAAATTTAAAGAACCTTACAGAAATATTAGATCTTGTTGAGTATGTTTTATTATTATTATTATTATTATTATTATTAATAATAATAATAAT